CTCACTTTATCACACTCAGCATCACAGCTCACAGCAACCTCCAGCTCTTGGGCTTAGATGATTCTCTTACCTCAGCCTCCCAAGTAGCTGGGACTATAGGCGCCCACCACAGCGCCCAGCTATTTTTTTGTTGCAGTTTGGCCTGGGCCAGGTTTGAACCCACCACCCTTGGTATATGTGGTTGGCACCCTACTCACTGAGCCACAGGCGCTGCCCCAAGAGAACTAATTAATAAATAAATACAGATACTGAGGCAGGATTGCTTGAACCCAGATGTTTTAGACCAGCCTAGTCAATATTGTGAGGCCGCATATCTACACAAAATAAAAAAGTTAGCTAGGTGTGGTGGCACATGCCTGTAGTCCTACCAACTCAGGAGGCTGGGAGACAGAGTATGACCCTGTCTCAAAAAAAAAAAAACAAACAAACCAAACATGTTATACAATCTCAGGGGGATATAAACATAGAAATGTTCACTGAGATAGGAGGGAGGAGTCAAAGATGACTTTACTGAAAAAATGATATTTGAACTACCTCTTAGACTTTGAGTGGAAAAGTATGAGTAGATAAAAGAATGGATTCATCAAGTAGATGGTAGAAAAGAGCTGGGAAAGCCCTGTGCTGAGGTACAGGATCATAAGGCATGTCTGGGAATCACAGGTATGCCCATGGGACCTGATTGATTTTTCTGGAAAATTGTTTGTTGAGGGAAATACTGTGTTCTGAGTACTGAATAAGATAAGATAGTCCCAGCCCCTCATGACCTGCAAGATCTAATAGGACACACAGATGTGTAAAGACTGAAAAGACAGTAAAAAGGACTACAATAGAGACATGGATCAGGCCAGGAGAGAGCAAAAGAAGTAGTGACAGTTTCTTTCTTTTTTTTTTTGAGACAGAGTCTCACTGGGATTATAGGCATGAGCCCCACCTCACCGGGCCCACCACAATGCCCAGCTATTGTTTGTTGTAGTTGTAATTGTTGTTTAGCTGGCCCAGCCGGGTTCCTGCCAGCCCTGGTGTATATGGGTGGTGCCATAACCACTGCTATGGGTGCCGAGACTGCCTTTTTTTTTTTTTTTTTTTTGAGACAGAGCCTCACTTTTTCTCCAAGGCATCATAGCTCACAGCAACCTCAACTCTTGGATTTATAAGCGATTCTCTTGCCTTAGCCTCCCCAGTAGTTGGGACTAAAGGTGTTGCCACCATGCCTGGCTATTTGTTGTTGTCATTGTTGTTTACCAGGTGTGGTCCAGGTTGGAACACACCAGCCTTGGTACATATGGCCGGTACCTTAACCACTGAGCTATTGGCACCTAGCCGTCTTTGTCTTCTTGAACAGGCCAGGCTGGAATGTTCCACATGCTGGATTTGTGAAATAGCACCTCGTGCCTTGGCACAGTGGTTATGGCATCCGCCACACATACTGAGGTTGGCAGGTTGCATCCCAGCCCAGGCCAGCTAAACAACGACAACTGCAACAAAAAATAGCTGGGCGTTGTGGCAGGCGCCTGTAGTCCCAGCTACTTGGGAGGCTGAGGCAAGAGAATGGCTTAAGCCCAAGAGTTGGAGGTTGCTGTGAGCTGTGACTCCACATCACTCTACCGAGGGTAACATAATGAGACCCTGTCTCAAAAAAAAAAAGAAAATCTTGTATTGTGTTAGTGTTTAATTTGTTCCTTTATCCTCTGTAAATTTCTTAAAAATTACAAATGTAAATCTAACGGATTGATTAGAATAAGTACTTTTTTTTTTTTCTGTTTTTGAGACAGAGCCTCAAGCTGAGCCCCCTGGGTAGAATGCCCTGGCTTCACTGCTCACAGCAACCTCCAACTCCTGGGCTCAAGCAGTCTCCGGCCTCTGCCTCCCAAGTAGCTGGGATTACAGGCGCCTGCCACAGCGCCCAGCTATTTTTTGGTTGCAGCCATTATTGTTTGGCCGGCCGGACTGGATTTGAACCTGCCACCTTAGGTGTATGTGGCTGGCGCCTTAGCGGCTTGAGCCACAGGTGCCGAGCCTAGAATAAGTACTTTTGACAGGAATACTTTATAGATGCTGTGTATTTACTGCATCATATCAAGGACCACATAATGTGAAGGTTGTTTTACAATGAATGATGCAAAGTTTAATCACTTATGAACCTGAGTCAGGAGATGATTGCCAAATCTCTCCATTTGAAGTTACTTTTTTTTTTTTTGAGACAGAGTCTTACTGTGTTGCTCTCAGTAGAGAGCCGTGGCATCATGGCTCACAGCAACTTCAAACTCTTGGGCTCAAGCGATTTTCTTGCCTCAGCCTCCGGAGTATCTGGGATCACAGGCGCCTGCCAACCAACCGTTTGATTTGCAAATAATCTGTGTGGAGAAATCTGGTACCATGATAACATCCTGTTCTCTGGCAATATTTCTCTTAAAGAGAAAGTAATTAGTCTTAAGTAATGAGTCATGACACTTGCCTAAATCAGTTATTTCATTCTGAGTTGCAAAATGGTGATTTTCTAACTCATTCTTTCTACATTAGATGGAACACTTTAAAAAAGAGCTGCCCCTAGGGGTGGTACCTGTGGCTCAAAGGAGTAGGGAGCTGGCCCCATATGCCGGATGTGGCGGGTTCAAACCCAGCCCTGGCCAAAAAACGCAAAAATAAATAAATAAATAAATAAACATTTTAAAAAAAGTCTTTTTAAAAAAAGAGCTTTCCTTTGGCGATTATAGATGAACTATAAAGGTCTTCCTAAAAAGGGAAGGTGAATACTTAATTCTTTTTAGTTACCAATTTTCAGTGTAAAGAGTTAGGGTAATATTAACCCCCTACTTAGCAAATTAGGTTCCCCCGCCTTTTGAGTATCACTATAGTATACTGGGTTTTTGTCCCATCTCATCCTCTCCCCAACTATCCCTTTTCCTACTCTTCACTTTTTGCTCCATGGCGACTGCCACCTTTCTCCGCACTTAACGCCTGAGCTTTCCAGCTCGTCCGCTAGGGGCCAGTGATTTACTCCCCGCCCCCATCCTGTCTCTCTATCACACCTTTCGCGGTTTGCTAGCAGCCGTTGTCTCACTGGTACTGACGCTGTCCACCGAGCCGCTCTAGGCTGTAGGGAGGCCGTCCGCATTGCGTGGGGAAGGTTTGGACGACGCAGTCGCCTCGCCGGCCCCCGGGGCGGTTAGCGCTTCCGGGGTCGAAGGGTGCGCGGGGTTGAAAGCGGGCCGCTCCGCCCCGTCCCCCTCCCAGACCAGCAGAGGCAGCAGACGAGGAATCCTAAGGTG